AGGGGACGGCTGGACAGCTTTGCTGCCAGCCCCTTCCAGAGCTAACCCGGGGCCTGATGCTTCAGATAAGCCTTTCCTCCTTTGTGGGGATTTCTGCAGGACAAACATCTCCGCCAGCCTCGTGACCGGGTTTGGGGTCAGGCATTGTGTCCCACCCCGGCAGCTGACAGCCGCCTCGGGCAGCCAGAGAGAGCTCAGCCTGTCCTGAGTGCAGCCTCCAGGCTCTGCACAGAAACACTCTGCCTCAGCCCGAATAGAAAGCGATTCTTGAAAGTGCTCTTTGTTCCCCTGAAAAACCCAGGCTGGCATTCAGGCTCGGGGTCTCACTCAAAGGACTTCGGAGCTAAGTGTCAGAATTCAGAGTGAAGGCTGGAAAGTTGGACTATTTCCTCGTGTCAGGGAAAGCACAGGGAAGGGAAAAAAAACCCACACCCTGCTTAAAAACTTCACGTAGGTTTGCAAAGCCACAAGTCATTAAGCACAGAACAAGGCACCAGTTCTGTGGCACCACAGAAACTCCTGCTCTCCCCTGCTGACTCCGCACTTTGCCCGAAACCTTATTCCCAGCCCTGCAACTGTCCTGACTGGGAATGCTGGGACAGAGGCCTGTGAAAAGGCAGTGCATTAAGTTATTGTTAGGAAAAAAAAAACCAACCCAAAACCTGTTAATTTCAGCCCACGGTATTTGCAGGAGCAGAGAGATCAAGCCCAGCAAAAAGCCACTTTGTTTCAGTCCCTGAGGAGGCCAATTCAAACTGGAGCAGAAGGAAAAGTTAAACTCCTAACAGCCTCTGAACACTCCCAATCCCTTACAAAATCAATTCCTGAAGCAACACCTCTATGTGTGTGTTCCTTTTCATTATTATTTTGGTTGAAAGCAAAAAGCTGAGGGTCAGCAGCACAAACCACATCGCAGGGAAGCTGTGTTTGTTCTACCCAGCCCAGGCAGGTCGGGGTGTGAGGCCTTAAGGTTTTACAGGCTGCCTGGATTTCCCGTCCTGTGAATCCAGAACCTTAATCCCACCAGAAGGAGCGCTGGAAGCAGCATTTTATGCAACAAATCTATGTTTCACTTGCTGCTGGAGGGACAAAAAGAGCTGGTGTTCCAGCATGGAGCAAGCCATGCACTGGGCCAGCACCTCTGCTGCTGTCTGTGCATCCATACAGCATGGACACCCACGCAGAACAGCTCCCACCTGTCCTGGGCACACTGGAGGGGGAGGCTGGAGGAGGTGCTGAGCAATTTCTCTGCTGCAGCTAAATTAACTAGGTTCCCAGGCTCTGCAGAGGGCTTAGGGGGATGTCAAGCAGCATCAGCACTGACCTGTGAACAAAGCGCATTCTTGTGGATCTTCTTGTAAATAAGAGCTGGGCAGATGAAACAAATGAGGCTTCCCATGGTGGCACCTGTCAGGCCTAGGACTGTTTCCACTGGGAAAGAAGAGGAGCAGTCAGCAAAGGTCCTTGCCAGGAGCACCAGAGCAGCAGCACAGGACGACTGCTGGAGGCCCCTGGCAGAATGGGGTATGAGCCTGGTCACCCCAGCCAGGACAGCAGAGAGAGCAGCCAGGGATTGTCCCAGCTCCTCACTCACCATTGGGGATCATGATGCCTCCCACCATGGTTCCAAACACAACAGCCAACGTCAGGGCCTTGAACCGGAGGGGCGGCATGTAACCCCCGGCAGCGAAGGTGCCATCCTTCTGCTGGGAGAGGGGAGAAGGAATTTAGCTCCTGGATCACAGCCCCCAGGCCCTCAGCAATCCCCCAGTCCCACCGCAATCCCCCCAGCAGACCCCAGAGCTCCATCACCCCCACACTCTGCTCTCCACAGAGGTGAATACTGGGGCACAGTCAGACAGGGCTGAGCAGTTTGAATGTGCATTTGAACCTCCAAAATGGGGTCACAGCTGCTGTTTCCAGCCCACCCCAGGTGTGCAGCACACAGCTGTGCCCCAGTCTCTGTGTAGTGCTGCAGTCCCTGACCTCAGAGAGCAGCCCAAGGCCAAGGGCAGGAGGAAGGAGCAGAGGTGAGCAGGGAGGAGGGAGAACAGTCACAGAGGAAAGAGCTCTGGCTTTGCTAGGGAGAGGTGTCCCCCAACACCCCCATAAGGAGGGCCATTCCCACTGTGCTATACCACAGGAACCTCCAACTGGGAGGAGGATACCCCAGGGAGATGGCAGGGGAGGATGGGTGCTGCTGGGGAGCTGCTGGAAGATTTCCAGAGGCTCTGCTTGCCATCCCACCCCATCCCCACACTCTGAGTGGGAGGTGTGGAAGGCAGAAGCCCCAGCATGACTGGGGTCTCCACTCTGTTGCTTGCACAGATGGGAGAGGAAGGCAAAGTGACACCTTCAGAGCCCCAAGAGCCACGAGCTGAGCCCAGGCGAGATCCCAAGTGTTCCCAGCGCTTCCTCCTCTGCACCCTCTGGCTCCCACCGGCTGCCTGCCCCCATCCTCGGGCCCTCCCGACGTGAGAACAGAGCTGGGGGCTCCTCACAGGCAGAAGTGGCAGGATTTAGAGCTATAAATTGCTGGAGTTTTATTTCCTGCCCTAAGAGGTTTCTATTTATGCAGATACACAAAGGCCTCAGAACATTCCCACAATCTCTTACTGTGATGTGCTGAATCCCCTCGGCGCACTCCGCGCTGCACAATGCACAGAGGAGAGCACACCACTGCCACAAGGGACCCACAGTCTCCAGCACACAGACCAGCTACAGTCACAAAGGCTGGCTGAGAGCTGGGCCTGGGAAAGGTGGTTATGTGGGAGAGGGACGTAGCCCACCCCTCGCTCCAGGACAGCACCGTGGCCCAGGAGGTGCTGGAGCAAGGGGATACCTAAACCAGGAGGGGACAGGGCTGCTGGGGGCTGGGACAAAGGGGCTGGGACAGAGGATCAGAGCAAGAATGAGCAGGCACACATGGAAGCAGGAAGAAATGAGGCTGGGCTGGGCCCCGAGGCCAGGAACAGGAGCTTGAGCTCAGTGCAAAGGGAGATTGAATTGGCCAGCAAGAGGACAGCAGCTGGAGCAGCAGGAAGTGAGGAAGCTCTGCTGCTTCCAAAGGCACATTTCTCCCTTTTTCTGAGGGGGAGAACCATCTCAGCTCTGAGCTAACACATCTGTGCCAGACATGGAATCCCCAGTGGAGCAGGGAGCAGCAGCCATGAGATGTGGGTTTCACACTGGGAACTCCTCCTGCCCATGGAATTCCTCTGCAGAGGGGTCACAAGTCTCAGGGATTAACCATGCTGCAGAGCAGGATTTAGAGACAGCCACAGGCCCATGCTGCACTGTCAGCACACCCCAGGCATGAGGATTTTATGGGAGCTGAGGGTTTGTCCCACTGGGTAGCAAGTACATGCCACATGCTGCTGCCACTGGAGTCTCATGGAACCACGGCAGGTTTGGAGCCCACTCAGAGGCCAAAAAGTCACATAAACCCTTCAAAAAGCAAGTTTCACACCAGGGCAGCCCAGGGAGCTTACCTGCTGCTCAAAGAGCAGAGTGTTGAGTGCCTGTCTGCAGGGCAGGATCATCATGGGGAACCCCACTGCCACTGACATCATGAATCCCACTCGGATCATCTCCGTCACCAGGTTGGAAGGGAAGTTCATGAGGACATTCCCAGCGATGGCTTCGGTGTAGCTCACGTAGCCAAAGAATCCCACCTGGGGAGGGAGCAGGTGGGTTGGACTCCAAAGCACCTTCACACCTGCTCCTTATAGGAGGGGAGCAACCAAGGGGGAGTGTGGGGTCAACTCCACAGGCAACCTGACAGCAGCCCCAGCACCCCAAAAGCTGATGGTTAATGAAGAGTGGGACTCCCTAAGAGAAAGTTTCTGATGAAATATGGGAGGGTTTAAACAAGACTGTCCCTCTCCAACAGAGGGGCTGTCACAATACCCACAGCAGCCTGGCTCCTCTCTCCTCAGGAATTAACTCAGTTTGATTGGCTGCTGCCTTATGAGGCAGAACGTCCTTCACAACAGACTGAAGAAAGCTCTCCAGAACACTGGGCAGCATCCCCAGCTCCAGGCTGGGCCCAGGAAGAGCCTCCACCCAAGGAAACATGGAAAATCTGGACTCTCAAATGCTGCACAGTTGGGTTCATCACCTCCCACCCCACTCTGCTCCCAGCACGATGACTTATCTGTCAAAGTAAATACAGATAAGTAGAAACCATCCCCAGATGAAGAGAAATCCTCAGCCCTGTGGCCCCTGCAGACTCCTGGCAAGGGAGGAGAAGGGGAAGTTCTCACCATGATGTAAAAGGTGGTGACCACATTCAGGGAAGAAGCAAATATGGAGCTCATGATTTTGACAGAAGGCTCATCCAAGCTGTCATAGGTAGGCAACACCTGACTGTAGGAAAGGATAAATCACTTAAGGAAAAAAGAGAGGAAAAACCCCAATCCCATCTCCTTCTCTGCCTCAGCCCAGCAGTAACGAATCCCTGACACCTTCCCCCTCCGGAGCATAAACACTGCTGCTATTCCACAATTTATACTGCTGATGCCAAGAGATTTCAGAACACTCATAACTTTTAAGTGTTGCAAAAATATTGCTGCTCTCCCCACCCCACCACGTGGAGCCAAACGTGTGATGTAAACACGGAGGTTGGGAGAGGCTGCTCGGCATGAATGACCGTTTGTTCCCCGTGGCCCCGGGCCAGGCTCAGCCACCGAGATTATTGTTCTTGGAGCTCTCCGTGCTGATAATTAAAGCAACACAGTGTTTACAGAGGAAAAGCAGGAAGGAGGCTGCAGCATCCCACTGTCTAAAGGAAAAGTCAAACAAACCAAAGGCAACGCAGCCTGGCCCACTTCAGCTCGGATCACAGAAAGCCAGGAGAGCCGATTCCAGGGATTTGGGATATTTACAGCCTTGGAGAGCCTGTGGAATGTTCCTTTTGACATCAGGTGCATATCTTAACAACTCATTAACCTCTTGTTACTTTCATTCAAGTGGCTACATCCTGGGCTGTTACTGAAGGAGCTCTCGGGAGAAGGAGGGGAACATGTAGGAGGTGGGAAGGGTATCCCCAGCTCCAGTGGGCTTAAAGCCATTCCCAGAAAGTGTATCAGGCCGAGGCCAAGCAGGAAGATCCTTAAACCTTAGTCCCTAAATGTCAAATGGGTCTGCACAAAAGAGGATGAGCACCTTCAGGACAGTGCCAGGGCTGCAGTCACCAGCAGGGAGAAAGACCTGCCTCCTGGAAGTGTCTCCACTGGGATTCCTCCCTGGGAGTAAGGAGACCAGCTTCCCAAGGAGATACACACACACTGGTCCAGACCAAACCACTGCCCTGCATTTCCAGCTTGCAGGGAAATGGGGCTGGGTACTGGGCCCATAAGGAATAATGGACTTGTTAACAAGGTAAAGCTGTGAGAGTACACAATTCCCTTTGCCAGTTCTGATAGAGACATTAAACAGTAAGACTGGAGTGTGCAGGGGTAGGATCTGAGCTGCCAAGAGAGCCAGAAAGTAGAAAATGATGATTTGGATCTTGGAGTGGTGTAAACACAGCAGTGTGAGCACATTTTATCTGTCACATTCACTGGCTCTTGGCATGAGACCTGTTTGCTGGAACTACAGGGGGGAAGCCCAGCCCTGCCAGGCTTCCAGAGGAGGATGGTCCTTCCCATGTCCAGGGCTGGAATTACACTGTCTAGAGCTGGCTTAGTTCTGGCCAGGCACATTTCACTCACTTCCCATTTGGTGCAGCCTGGAATGCTGTTGGAAACATGGAATAGTCTGGTCTGCTCTCACCTTCTTCCCCATGTCAATGGAAACCATCACTAAAACCAGGGAACTGGAAATGTGGAATAGCCTGGTCTGCCCTCACTTTCCAGTGCCACTAAAACCATGGAACTGGAAATGCAGGAACAACGCTCCAAAAACAACAGATGTGAGATCATCTGAGTGTTCTCAGGGTAGTTTGGGGGAGCAGAGAGCAGCCACCAGTGTTCCCTGCCCTGGGGTGGCACAGCCCCACTACCTTTCCTAGGACTAAATCATTCCCCTCAAGCACCAGGGGAATTTCACCCCAGAAGCTCTGTGTGCCACACTGAGGATCTGTTTGGCCCAGTTGCTCTCATGTTGCTCCAGTACAATAACTCCAGGTGAAACCTAACTCCCTCCCTGTCCCAGGAACAAAAGGGTCACAACAGACCCAGGTTGAACTTCAGTGAGCTGTGAAATGCTCTGATTAAACTAAAACAGCAAACCAGATGGTATCTGCTCCTTGCAGATCCTCCTGACCCTCTGACCCTCTGCAGGGACAAGTGCCAGGGGAGGGAACAGCAGGTACTTACGACTGACAGGCAAAAGACATTCCAAAGATGGGGATGCAACGGAAAATGCCTTCCCAGCGCGTGTAGCTCACTCGCTGCAGCCACTGCCCACTGAAGAGCCCATGCTTGAAGGAGGACAGCACAACCTGCAGCCAAGAGACACAGCAGGGGTGAAGATCCAGCCCCAAACAGCTTCCTGGCAGCAGCAATGCAAGGCTGGGATAAAGGCAGTGTGTGGCACCTCTGCCAGGAGCAGCTCATGCTGCCCACCACAGCCCTGTCTCCAGGAGGAAAATTCCTCAGCTCCCCATCCCACCCACAAGCTTCCAGCAAGCTCTAAGGGCCTCCCTTGAGGATCCCAGGGGGTTATTTTAAAGGATCTGTGACACCCCCCCTTTGTCTGATACCATCACAGCACAATTTCTGACTCAGGAAAGAAAAACTTCTTTAAAAATCACAGAATCACAAGATCATTTAGGGTGAAAAAGAGCTCCAGAGATCATCGAGTACAACCTGTGACCCATCAGCACCTTGTCAACTAGATCAGAGCACATCTAGACATTCTTTGAACACCTCCAGGGATGGTGATTCCATCACCTCCCTGGGCAGCCCCATCCAATGCCTGACAACCCTTCCCCCATGGATTAGGAGCACTGAGGATTGCAAGACATGATTAAAGTCCAGAGAATCCTCCCCACATCTTCCACCCTTTGATTCCAAGTCCAGCACCCTAGATTAGAAGACGCCAAACAAGCAGAATAAACCACAGCTCCATTTGTGGGCTACTAGTGGTTGTGCCACCACAGTCCCCACGTGTGGAACCACCCACAGACCCACTGCCTGTTCCTGCAGCCTCCACCTCCCACCTCAGGAGCATAGGCACCTAGATCCCTCATTATTCCCAGCACTAATCATCAGGAAGGACACTTTAAACTCCAGGCCTGAAGCTGCAGCTGTCCCAGGGGGAACACTTGTGCAAACGCAACAGGCAAAGAGGATTCCTGGTGTCCATACCCACCACAAACATGAATACGGTGTAGAAGATGAGAGCCATGGCACTGAAGGACTGGATGGAGGCCATCATGTTCCTCTGCAGGCTCAGGGGAAGGACAATGCACAGGGAGACAGCAAAGAGAAGCACTATCCGGAAACTTCCCGACACCTGGAAAAGGGACCTGCATCAACATCTGGGGCAGGGAGGCCACTCCAAACATCCACCCAGTGAGCAAACCCTCACGTAGGTCATTTTTTCCAGAGTGAAAACCAACTGTAAAACATCAAATTCTGTGTCTGTAGGTGTTTGAAGATCCAAAGCTGAGCTGGACGTTCCCTGGGCTCTGTCTGTGATGAGCTGAGACAGTCACTGGGTGCCACTGTTGCTCTGCAGTGTGTGGCAGGTCCATCCAGAGGTGGGAGAAATTGGGAGGAGGGTTAAGTGCTAATCCAGCACAAGCTATTTAGGTATTTTCATGCAATTAACTAAACCCTAAACTTACTTGGGGAGAGAAGAGATTGAAGTCCTGAAAACTCCGATCCAGAAAATTAATCAAAAGCCTCACACTGGTGTTTATTATGGCAGAACACTGGGAAAGGCTTGGAAATATTTAATACCTAATTTGGCTGAGGCCTCAGTGCATCATTTTTAACTTCACAGGCCCTTTAATCAGAGCTTAGGAGCATCAGGCAGGGCAGATAACAGCTCCAGAAATCCTTTTGCTTCCCAAAAGTCCTTTTGCTTCCCTGCACAGCTCTGTGCCTTCTCTGAGGAGCAACTCCTGCCTCCAGGCATCCTGAGCCAGCACCAGCCTCATCACACGGCTGAGGGGGCAGGAACACAGTGACTGTGGCCACCGAAACAACAAGGGACAGGCAAAACCACCTCTTGGAAAAGAGGGGCAGAGCTGAGGCAAAGGAACTGCCTGTCATTACCCTCAGGGGCAGGAATTAAGGCAGGAAACATCATCTCCCCCAGGAATCTGCTCCAAGGGACCAAGTTCCTTTGATGGAAATGCCTCACTGGAGTTTTACACAGCTGATTGTTCCCCATATGTTTGGGCTTCCAGGAATTCCCTGAGGTTGGCTTCTCCACACACCAAGCTCTCCCTGAGGGCACCCCACATTGCCCGTGGGGTGCTGAGCACACTGCAAGGCAGGAGCTGTGCTGTATCCAAGGAACACAGGGCCCAGGGCAGCTGTGGGAGCACTGCCTGCCCTGCAGGGTGAAGGACTCACCTGGAAGCCGAGCAGCCGCGCAAAGAAGTTGGAGCCCAAATCGCCGATGACAACGTAGAAGGCAATGCAAGTGCCCAACATCAGCCCAATCATGCTGCAAACACACAGCAGGACACATTAGGAGGAGCACACTTCCATGCTTCCAAACCTTGGGAAGGGCAGGACACTCCTCCAGCACTCAATCCCAGCAATACCACCCCCAGGGAACCTCCAGCCACACCAAACACCTTGAAGGTGCAGCTCTGCTAACCTGTGTGTGAGTTTAACTGCAGTTTGGAGCCATAGCCAGAAAAGTACCCCAAAAACTAATCTTGGGGATGGCAAAACCTCCTTCAATTCCTGGAAAAACCTTTAGAGGAATCAGCACAAGGCTCTCCAAGCTCCATGCCCTTCAGGAAGGCTGTCACAAACATCTCAACATCCAATGGGCTCTCCAAGGTCTCTCCACACTTTAATGACAGGATTGTCCATGAACTCCTTCTCCTCCCACTCCTGGACCACTTTCCCTCCCAGTTCCAATTATAGAACACCCCTGTAGCAATTAACAGCCACTGCTTGCAGGGACAAGTGACATCTGAGGAATATTCTGTGTATTTTTAGTGCTGAGCAGGGGTTTGCAGCTGGGAAGAGAGAAAGGGCCAGCACCACTGCCTGGCCTGGGATCAAGATGCCTGGAAAAGAATCCCTGCTGGAAAAAGCAGAGCTGTGAGGGTGTCCCATCACCTGAGACCTGTGGGGAGCTTCTACTGCACTAGGGACATCAGAGGAACTGAAATAGAGACAGGATTGCTCCTCAAGGCAGCAGAGAGGGTAGGACCAGATCCATGGATCCAAAGAACTAAACGCTCTCCCTCCCACTCACTCATGGCACTCTCAGCAGGGATATAAACCCTGGAAAACAGCCACAAGTGACATGCCTGGAATTTCACAGCAGAGCAAGAGACAAGCTCATCCTCAGTTTATGTGTTCCCACTGCCTGACAAGTGCTCCCATCTCCACTTGGGAATGGGTGGGATACACTGAAGGTGACACCTGTGAGCTTAGGAGATCTCACTCAGGCTCCTGTCAAATTC